GTGCTCTTCCGATCTATGATCCGTTCTAATGATGATTCTTCGCCCTTCAATAAGGTATCTGAAATGTTTAATTGCCAAATAAATACCGAGAAGCTCTCTATCGTAAGCGCTATAAGAGCGTTGTGACGAATTTAACTTCTTCGAGAAAAAGGCAATTGATTTGTTAATTCCATCTATTAACTGTTCCAGTGACGCGCCAACAGCAAAATCAGAAGCGTCACATGTTAAAATCAGAGGAACCGAAGGTGCAGGATGCGTTAAAGCTGCGACTTGAATAAGCTCTTCCTTGCAATTTTTGAAAGCTTCTTCCGCTTGAGGAGTCCACGGAATTATTCTTCTGTCACGCTTCCTGCTATTCTTAAGAAACTCGGTAAGAATTGTCTGATTCTTAGCTGCATTTTTAATACATCTTTGGTAGTAATTAATTATTCCCAAAAATCGTCTCAATTCGTGTAGAGTATTAGGCTTTTTATAATTGATTATTGCTTTTACTTTTTCAGACGTAGGTAAAATACCTTGACTGGATACCAAATAAGAAAAGAAATTTCAGAAGAACCGAAAAGACATTTGGAAACATTAATTTTTAAACCAAATTGCTGAAGACGTTGAAAGATAGTACGTAAATGCTCGATTTGTTCCTTTTCGTTAATTGATGTAATTAAAATATCATTAAGATAGCAAAAGCAAAAATCTAATCCTCTTAAAATGTTATTCATTAGGCGCTGAAAGGTTTGAGCAGCATTACGGAGATCGAATGGCATAACCAAAAATTCAAACAAGCCAAATGGAGTCGTGACAGCAGTCTTGTGAATATCTTTCTATGCCACCGGGACTTGATAATAAGCTTTGACAAGATCTATTTTAGAAAAAATGTTCTTACCATAAAGTCCCGAAGTAAAGTCTTGAATGTGTGGTAAAGGATATCTGTCAGGAATGGTCACCGCATTCAAGGCACGGTAATCACCACACAATCTCCAGATTTGTCTGGTTTCGGAACCATATGGAAAGGAGCTGCCCATGTGCTGCTAGAAGGACGACAAATGCCTTGCTCCATCATGAAAACAAATTCGGCTTTAGCGAATTTAAGTTTTTCCGGCGATAACCTTTGTGGAGCAGAGAAAATAGGCTGACCTTCTGTTAAAATATGGTGTTCCATTCCATGATTTTTAATAGTGGAGATTGGAGCAAACTTTGTAAGATCCGGAAATTCTGCTAATAATTTTTGGTAAGAAGAATTCGGTGACATTGTACAAATTGTTAAATGATTAACTTCCGAAATTCTTCCAGGACGTGTTAACCCAGTAATATTATCAATAAGGCGTTTGTTTTTCAGATCAACAAGCAGACCAAAATGGCTGAGAAAATCTGCGCCCAAGATAGGATGGGAAACGTCCGCGATACAAAATTTCCATTTAAAAACTCTCCGAAGGCCAAGATTCAGCGTTATTAATTGAGTACCGTATGTATTAATCGTAGTACCATTAGCCGCGTAAAGTTTAATTGAAGCCGGTAATAATTTACGCCATAACTTTTTAGAAACAAGAGAAACATCGGCTCCTGTGTCCACTAAAAAGTGTAATCCAGAAGTCTTGTCCGTAAAAATAAGGCGATTATTAGCAGGACTGTTGTTAGATGCCTCGACACCCAACGGTGGAGTTAGTTTTCCTGCTTGTCGGTAATCGTTAAAGCTTCGACATTGAACAAGGTATAGTACATTTGAAAGCTTTTGAACCGAATCGTTTATGATAATTACAAATTTCCGCATCTTTCTTCGATTTAACAATGTTATCTCGCGACTTCGATCTAAATTTCTTTTTTCTATTGAAATTAGAACGTGAATTACTTCTTGAATGTCTGATTTCAAGAGCTGAAATTCTTTGTTCCAGATCCGCTAAACGGAAGCATCTAACTTCTTGGTAACTTCGACTGCGGAAACCGATGGTCCATCCGGAAAACCGTTATCGCGTTCTACAATTTTATCAGCCAATTCAGCTAGTTTATCTAGAGGAACGCTTTCGACAACCGCAAGAGTAGCTTGAACTCTAAAAGGTAATCTTTGTAACCAAATCAAATGCAAAACATTATCGGAAATAGTTCCACCAGCAAGTTGCTTAATCTCTCGAAGTAAATTAGACGGTTTCTTATCGTTAAGTTCGATTCCCGCTAAAAGTTGTCTTAATCTCTTCTCTTCCGAATCCGTGAATCGATGAATTAACGCGTCTTTTAAATTGACGTATTTATCTTTTTCAGGAGAATTTTCGATAACATCGGAGACTGTTACAAGAGCTTTCTCGTCTAAATGTCTGAGAACCGAGCTATATTTGACGTCATCCGAACGAATACGATACACAAGGAATTCACTTTCTAATTGAGCGAACCAAAGCTTCGGATGCTTGTGCCAAAACGTCGGCAATTTAATAAGACGAAATTCGTTCGAGTTAATGTGGCTTGGCTCACCAAATCGAAGTGGTTCAGCAGACGGCAAATCAGATCCTCCAGACGCAGTATCCTGAAGGTTTAACGGTATCTCACTTGACACTGGTAATAAAGCAGGCGTCTCCGGGCTTTTAACTGGCGTCCTGTTTGTCGGCATCGTGAAAAAAAACCAGGTTGTCCACTCACAGAAGACACGATGGAGATATCCAAAAATTATCACCACAATTCACTGATTCGAAACTCCCGCCATTCGAAATTCACTCCGTTAAAATCGAGGGTCACCAATTGTGGGTACTCGCAAGTCAAACTCAAGACTTTTATTAAAAATTCAAGATAATTTATTCAGAGGATCAAATATAAACTTTCACTGATGCAGTTACATTGACGAATGAATGAATGAATGTTTTTATTAATAAATGAATTTGTTGCGAGTGTACTCAACAACTTTATAATATCGGATAGGAAGTAATCTTAAACACCTTCGATCTTTCGTGAATTTATTCAGCACCGTTAATAAGACGTGTA